TGGAGTGGTCGACTGTGTCGAACCCGGCAGAGAGATCCAGGAGGACGAGGAGGCAGAGGGAGCCCTGGTCACAGATAGAGAGAATGTCGTTTGTGACATTGACAAGTGTTGACGGCCTGACAGAAATGCACTGTATGTGGGGACGCCGCTGTGTGTAATTGGCTGCCGCGTTTCGCCACAAAATACACAGTCACTCCATTTTACAGTATATTCTGTAAAGCACGTTTCACACTGGGAGACATTGCAACATGCTTCACACTGCTGGCAGGGCCAGGCTATTGGAGTGGGGAGGGGGAAAAGATAACAATAATCCTTGCATTTGATACAGCGCCTTATCACGTCATTGAGACTTCTCAAAGCGCTTCACAGAATGTATTGTAAAGTGAAGTGACTGTGTATTTTTGTGGGCAAAACTCAGCAGCCATTGCACTCAGCAGTGTCCCACAAACAGTCGTGGATTGAAGTGACTAAATTATTTTTTTTTGAAGGTATTCTTACCCCCCGAAAAAATGATCCGCTAATCGACAAGACTACCAGGTTCCCACTTCTTGCTAGGTAATCAAAGGCATGTGGAGTAAGGAATCGAGCCCAGGTCCTCTCGCTTGCGAGGTGAGTGCTCTAACCACTACGCTACGGGACTCCAAGATGTCTGAAAGTGTAGTTAAAGACGTGAGTCTTGAGTTGCGTGTTGAATGCGGAGAGGGTGGGAGGGAGTGAAGTGGAGAGACTCCGGGATGGAGTTCTAGGGTGGAATGACTGATAGAGGGTACGGTCAAGGGGAGAGGGGACGTGAAGCAGGCCGGTGCCTGCTGAGTGGTGGGAGAAGCCAGGTTTGTGAGGTGTGAGTTGACCACAGACCCCATGGAGGAATTTGAAGGTGAGAACAAGGTCTCAGAGCTAGTGGAGTGGAGTCTGGTAAGTGTGTGAGGTGGCCTTGTTTCAACCTAAGCTGCTGTGACTGTAATGCGATTTGCTGGATGTGAGCGTGTTAATCCAGGCCTGGCCATGTCCTGTGTCCCCTGACCTACAGCGATGGGAAAGAGGCTCAGGTTCACAGCTCAGAGCAAATGAAGTGGGGATGAGATTGGCTGTGAGAGTGGGAGCCATCAATGAGGGCAGCTCAGCCAGGTTAGTGCATCACCTGGTGGGGAGTGTGAGCTCCTGCAGCACTCAGCATGCCCCCGCGCCCCCCCCCCCCCCCCCCCGATCATTCAGCTCAACAGGTGAAAGTGAGTGTGAGAATGAGAGTGCATTTGGCTCAATGTGTGTGTGTGTGAGAATGAGTGTGAGAGTGTGTCTCGGTGTGAGTGACTTGGTGTCAGAGTGTGTGTTTGTGTGTGAGAGAGTGAGTGAGTTCCCACACGTTGGGAGTCAGATACGGGGCTGGTAAGGGGGTGGAGGTGACCATAAGTGTTCAAAAAGGAGACAGGATTTAAAGCGAGAGGGGGGGGGGATCACTCACACAAACTCTAGACACACAGGTGCAGTGAGAGTGTTGCAGTGACCAGCTCTTGGCCACTGGGGAGCAGTGGATGAGCAGTGAGTACAGAAATGCTGCTTATAATAATATCACATCACCCAAAACGTCCCAAAGGATTCACTGTAAAGTGCTGTGACTGCGTATTTTGCTGGGTGAACGTGGCAGGCAATTTGTGCACAGCAACGTCTCACTAACAGTCGTGAAGTGAGTGAGTGATTGTATCTGGGGAATTGTTGGCCAGGAAACCCGGGTGGGGGGGCAGAGAGAGAGAAACTAACCCCTTTCTCTTTTCCCAATGGGATCTTTAACACGGATGGAACTTTGCTTTAATGGCTTATATGAAGGATGGTGTCTCTGACAATGCAGCATTCTCTCCCCCCCCAACACTGCGCTGGACTGGAGCTGTGAGCTCAGAGTCCCCACCGCAGAACCTGGCCTTAACCACCCAGTTTCAGTGATGTTATCACCCCCCCACCCACTGCCTCCTCTTTGACCAGTGAGACTGAGCACTTTTGCCCTCTTTCCCCCCCACCCCCGCTGTGTGAGCTGGACAGTGTGTGACTAGCCGACCGCACAGATTAGCAGGTTGGCTTTAAGAGATTAGCAAAACTGTCCACCCACGTCCATTGTAGGACACTAACGTGATTGGAAACTGAGTGTAACATCAACAGCTCCGCACCTCACACCTGGTAACCCATCACCTCACCCTGCCCGGTGACTAGCTATATTACACCCGGTAACCAGTCACATCGTATGCTCCTCAGCCCACACACCACCAGCAGTTAACCCCAACACACACTCTCGGGTCCCCAAACCTTGGCTCTCGCCAAACCGTGCCTAATGCTCTCTGGAATTAGCTAAACAGGGTGCATCCCTCCAGGGAGAGAGCACATTCCATTCCAACAGTCTATCTCTGGGATTTCCAGGTGTAAGTGGGATGCAGGGAATTCTCAGTGAGGTTTGGAGACTCTTAAGCAACGGTGACAGGTTTCCGTGTGTGACAGACACCCGGCCGGTCACGGTGACGGGTTTCCGTGTGTGTCAGACACCCGGCTGGTCACGGTGATGGGTTTCCGTGTGTGTCAGACACCCGGCTGGTCACGGTGACGGGTTTCCGTGTGTGTCAGACACCCGGCTGGTCACGGTGACGGGTTTCCGTGTGTGTCAGACACCCGACTGGTCACGGTGATGGGTGTCCACGTGAGTTGGCCACCCAGCTTTTGCTTTGAAAAAACTATTGCAGGTTATTGTGCTGATTATTTTATTGAAAGCTCTTTTAGGTGTAAATTCATTCGTTTAATGGCTCTTTGCGGGACTTCTCTGTGCGCAAATTAGTAGCCGTGTTTGCCCACAAAACACAGTCACTACACTTTACAGTGAGTCCTGTGAAGCGCTGTGAGATGTGGCAGTATGACACTCTGCACTGGTTTGTTTCTGAGAGAAAACTAATCCTGTGGTGTCTCGCGAGGCACAGGCTGTTATTGTCACTACCGCTCAGACATGTCAGGACCCGTGTGGGCCCCCAGGGCTGCCTGACTCCTCATCCATTCCCAGCTCCTCTATCAACCAAATGCCTCCATGACTGCTGAGTGTGGGCGTGCGTGTGTGTGTGTGTGTGCATGCAAATGTGCGTGTCTGTCCCTGTGTGCGTGTGATGTTTGGACAATATCAAATGCATCCTTGTGCATGGATGTGCATGTCTACATGTGTGTACCTGTGTGAATATATGTATATGTGTGGGTATGTGTGTGTTCACATCCATTCAGACAACTACATACATGTATACATGCCTAGTGCATACATGTGCACACATATATATATAATCACATAACGATAAATGCAATTATACATACCACACAAACATATATACACATACTCATACATACACACACACATAGATATGCACACGCGCACACATATACACACACACACGAACACATAGATACACGCACACAAACACACACACACACAAATACACACACAGTTGCTCAGCTGGCTGCCCACAGACACGCTGCTGTCAGTAAGAGGCTTTCACAGTTAATCTGAGCTGCTGTCAGCACAAGTCAATCTCTTGCAGCTGAGGTGGGAACCACACACCAAGATAGAGAGTGAGTGAGAGAGAGAGAGAGAGAGTGAGTGAGTGAGAGAGACCAATATCCGTCCTGTGGCCAGTCCGAGATTGAGAGACAGTGACACCGGCCGCCCTGACTGCACTAAGGAGAATCAAAGCCAATCGCAAGCATCTCAATTATTTCAGATTTATGTGGAGTCCTGTATCTGAGAGGTTAGAGCACACACCTCGCAAGCGAGAGGACCTGGGCTGAGCGAAACCTTGGCCAAGTTTCCTTAGTCCACACATGCCTAGCAGTAAGTAGGAACCCGTTTGTTAGTCAATTGGCATGTCACCTTTCCGGGGATAATAAATCCTTCAAACAAATAATAATAAATTGATCCCTCAATCCACGGCTGTTTGTGGGACGCTGCTGTGCACAATTGGCTGCTGCGTTTCACCGACAAAATATATAGTCAATTCACTTTACAGTGTATCCTGTGAAGCGCTTTGAGACATCAAAAAGACGTGATAGGGAGCTGATCAAATGCAAGGAATATGATTATCTATTAGTGAGACAATGCAGCTCCCCCATACCTGAGCTGGGGAGTCAGCGTGGGCCATACAAGTCCTGAGGTGGGGCTTGAACCCACAGTTTTTCGATTGCGAAGCGAGAGTGTGAGTGACTGAGCCAGGCTGAGACATGAGGTGCTGTTAGTTTCCTGGGCGCGGGGAGTGAGGGAAGGAAATAGAGTGGTGGTCGCTGAGGGCAGCGTGAGTCGGGTGGGGGGCGTTGGGGGTCTGAAGGAGGTCATACGTGGCTGTGTGTTGGGAGGTGGCTGTAGGCAGCCCTGCCCTCCGCTCCCCCAATCCACTTGTGAGGTGACGTCTGGTTATGTCAGAATAAGGCTAATCTCCTCTGGGCTGGAGTGCTTTGGCAGCAAAGGCACACAGTAATCTCAGAGCACCAGCTGAGAGCCCCCGAGAGAGAGAGAGAGAGAAAGAGAGAGAGAGAGATCTCCAGAGAGATGGACAGAGTGAGAGAGAGTGAAAATGAGAGTTGAGAGCTCCAGAGAGACAGACCGAGAGCGAGAAAGTGAAAGAGAGAGACAGATAAGAGCGATAAGAGTGAGACAGAGAGAGAAAACGAGAGAGGGTGGAGGAGAGCAAGAAAGAGCAGTCTCTATTCCATGTCACTGACGACCTTCTATTTATAGATCTCTATTTCACTGGCAAATTTGCAAATTTTTTGGCCGGGAGTTTTTTTTTAGGCGAAGAGTTGTCAGTGAGTGTCCGAGGCTCAGGAATTCGCAAAGGGAGTGGGAGAGGTCAAGGAGGGAATTTTGGGCATGAATTTCCAGTGAAAGTTTGGGGCAGTGCTGTGAGGGTGTGGATTTGCTTGCGAGCGGGCGGGTGGGCGGGAGAGGGGGAGTGAGGCCCCGTTAATACAGGGTGGGGGGGTGGGAGGGAACGGTAAGGTAAAGGGAGGGAGGAAGGGGGTGAGCGGGGAGTTTGAATGCTGGACGGGCAGGTTACCTGTGAAGGGTCTGCTCCAAGGGGGGTATGGACGGGCAGGGGTTTGGGGGTTTGGATCGAGACGGGAACGGCATTGACTACAGCACCATCGTGGGGGATATGGAGAGCCTGAAGGCCTGCACCGAGCAGCTGCTTCACAGCCCAATCAGCGGAGCCCATCACCACCTTCACGGACACGAGACTGCTGCCCAGCGCTACAGTGCCACCAGGATACAGGCTGGGTACGAGCCAGAGAGGTGAGCGACAGCGGCTCAAGCTCAGTTCATTCATGTGTGGGAGAGTGAGTGTGTGGGTGTGCGTGTGGGGTGTTTAATTCCCCCCCCCACGTCAGAGACTTTGCACTCACAGTCCAGGCTGACTGACGCTCCATGTGGGAGTGGGGAGAGAGAGCGCCCCATTGTCAGAGACGATGTCCTTCAGATAAGATGTTGAACGTCCCTCCCCGCCTGGGCCCTGTTAAGGTGGACATTTAAAGATTTCCCAGCGGCGTGGTTGGGAAAGAGAAGGGAGTCTCTCTCTCTCTCTATCCTGGTCAACAATCCTCATGAGATAAAATCACTTACTTCACGGCTGTTTGTGGGACGTTGTTGTGTGCAAATTGGCTGCCGCGTTCGCCTTCCAAAACACACAGTCACTACACCAGACAGTAACTCGCTTGACGTTACGACATTTTAGATGCTGTAAAAATGCCGGTTCTTGTGTTGGCAATGATTAGCTTGAGATTTGAAAACAACAACAACTTGCATTTACACTGCGTCCCACACGCGGGGCAGGTCCCCGGAGCCCTTGACAGTGGTGGAGCGAGACACCGAGCCAGGGGGAGGGGAAGGTAACCGTAACCACGGTCAAAGAGGAAGGTCTCCAGGCGTGAACTGAAGATGGGGACAGAAGGGGCAAGGCAGAGAGATAGAGGGAGAGTGTTCCAGAGTCTCGGGGTGTAGTGGCTGATAGCGCGGAGGGTGTGAGGGTACAAAGCACAGCGCTGGAGCCAGGCGAGCGGAGGCAGCGGGTAGTGGGTTGGGAAGTGAGTGAGTGAGTGAGTGGGTGGGTGGGTGGGTGGGTGGGTGGGTGAGTTAGTTAGTTAGTTAGTTAGTTAGTTAGTTAGTTAGTTAGTTAGTTAGTTAGTTAGTTAGTTAGTTAGTTAGTTAGTTAGTTAGTTAGTTAGTTAGAACTTGTGAGTTGCTGTAGGTCTGTAATGTTCTCTCCCTAGTCCCAGCAAGGGGAAGTCACAGCACAAGCAGCGGGAGAGGAGTGGGAGAAGAAGGGACATCAGATAACAGGGAGGTTAAAGGCAGCTCATCCCAGAGCTCACACTCACCAGGTCTCAGCCTCATCACCATAAGATAATGAATTAAGGACTACAGTGCAGCTAGCAACTAGTGATGAGAAAGTGTGTCTGTAGAGTATATATATATATATGCATACTTTACAGGTATATTTATGGGTGTGTCTGTAGAGTATTTAAGACCTACTAATTAACTAGTCGCATCTTTTCACCAACATTCATTCTAACTAACTGATTAACTGACCGTTAACTTCCACATGTTTATAATAATAATCTTTGCATTTGATATTGCACCAGATCATGTGGTTGAGACGTCTCAAAGAGCTTCACAGGATATACTGTAAAGTGTAGTGACTGTGTTTTATGGGTAAATGCAGATAACCCCCAACTCTATCCGTGCCATGACCCTCTCTGCCTTCACCCACCTCCATAATATTACCCGCCTCAGCCATTGCCTCTCCCCTATCCATGCCTTAATTATGATAATTCCCTACTCACTGGACTTCCCAACTCTTCCCTCCACAAACTGCGGATTATTCAGAACTCTGCAACTCGTGTCCTCTCCCACACTAAGCTCCGAGACTCCATCACCCCTATCCTTGCCCGGCTCTACTGGCTCCCCATCCCTCATAGAATACAGTTCAAAATCCTCGTCCTCACTATTAAAGCTCTTAATGGCCTTGTCCTGCCCTCCCTCTGGGATCTTCTCCAAGGGGCCAGTGTTAGGATCATTGCTTTTCTCTATTTATATGGATGATGATCTGGATTCTGGTATAAGGGGAAGATGGCATGGCAATAGGGAGTGCTGCCAACAATGAAGATTGTGAGAAACATCAAGGGAACACAGACAGATGAGTTTATTGGGCAGAGAAATGGCAAATAAAATTCAATGTGGACAAATGTGAGGTTCTACACTTCGGGAGGAAGAATAAGGAGAACAGTGTATGTTGGGGTAAAATATTAAAAGGAAGAGGAACAGCAGAGGGATTTGGGGGTCAATGTACATAAACCTTTAAAGCAGGTGGACAAAGCTGTCAAAAAAGCTAATGGGATCTTGGGTTTATAAATAGGGATAGAGAATATAAAAACAAAGAGGAAAAGCTTCACTTATATAAATCATTAGTTAGACCACAGCTAGAATATTGTGTCCTCTTTTGATCACCCCATTTTAGGAAGGATATCAAGGTGACAGAGGGGGCACAGAGGAGATGATTTACAAGTATGGCACAAGGCATGAGGGGTTTGGCTTATGAGCGAAGACTGGAGAAACTGGGATTCTTGCATTGCAACAAAGCAGGCCGAGGGGTGACCTGATCGAGGGCTTTAAAATGATGAGGGTTTGATAGTCAATAGGGAGACATTATTTTCACTGGTCAGTGAGTCAGTAACTAGAGGGCATGAACTTAAGATAGTAAACGAGCAAATGAGGAGAGATGTTTTCACACACAGAGTGGTTAGGATGTGGAATGCTCTGCCGGGAGCAGTGATTGAGACAGAATCCATATTAATAATAACAATAATAATCCTTGCATTTGATAGAACGCCTTATTCACAACTTTGAGACGTCTCAAAGCGCCTCACAGGATATATGGTAAAGTGAATTGATTGTATATTTTGTGGGCGAACCGCAGCATGCCAATTGCGCACAGCAGAAGGATTCAAGAGGGAACGAGACAGATACCTTAAACAGAGTCAGCTCCAGGGGTGTGGGGAAAGGGCAGAGAGCAGGGACACCAACAGATGGAGGGAGGAATGAGCAGTGACCAGAGTGAAAGGGTTTGGGCTGGGAGAAGGCAGAGGTCGGGGAGGGGGGGGTTGGAAAGAGCGCGACCGGACAGATCTGTTAGCCATTGACTTTCATTTGATTAGGTAGTGATTTGATGTTGATTTCTCTCATACTTTAATGACATATCAACATGACTCAAGTGTCAAGTGTCAAGTGTAAGAACTATCTTGGGAGGAAGATAGAAGTGAATGTGCAGAGAGAGTCAGCCAGGCAGGAGGCCATTGACAGAGTTGGCCAGGGATTGTCGGCCAGAACACCAGGAGAAAGTTCACTCTTAGTGCTCCATTGATGTCCACTGCTATCTCCCAGGTATCCCCCAGGACACCAGGACCGCTCCCTCTGCTCAGGGGCCTGCTCCACGTCCCCCAACCGGCCCACCACACCATCGCTGCCTTCAGCCTCTCTGCCCCCCCTTCAGATCTCCATCCCACAGTCCCTTCTCTTCTAGAATAGCGCCACAGGATCTTTAACATCCACCCGAACGGGACCTTGGTTTAACATCTCATCTAAAGGACAGCACCTCCGATAATGCAGCTCTCCCCATACAAACCCTCCCCCTCCATCTCCCTCACATACTCCCCCCTCTCACACACACTCCCCTCTCTCTCATACACTCCCCCTCTCTCACACACTCCCCCCCCTCTCTCTCTCACACACACACCCCTCTCTCTCTCATACACACTCCCCCCCTCTCTCTCCACGCCCCCCCTCTCACACACTCCCCCTCTATCTCTCATACACACTCCCCCCCCTCTCTCTCCACGCCCCCCCTCTCACACACTCCCCCTCTATCTCTCACACACACACCCCTCTCTCTCTCATACACACTCCCCCCCTCTCCTCACCCCCCCCCTCTCTCACACACACTCCTCCTCTCTCTATCACACACTCCCCCCCCTCTCTCACACCCCACCTCTCTCTCTCTCACACACACTCCCCCCTCTCTCTCTCACACACTCCCCCCTCTCTCTCTCTCTCACACACTCCCCCCTCTCTCTCTCACACACTCCCCCCTCTCTCTCACACCCCACCTCTCTCTCTCTCTCTCTCACACTCCCCCACCCCCCTCTCTCTCTCTCTCACCCCCCCCCTCTCTCTCTCTCACACACTCCCCCCCCTCTCTCTCTCACACACTCTCCCCCCCTCTCTCTCTCACCCCCTCTCTCTCTCTCACCCCCCCCCCCCCTCTCTCCCCCCCCCCCTCTCTCCCCCCCCTCTCAGTATGGCTGAGGAGCTGATTAGCGGAGGGACTGATTAGCTGCTGATTATTACTGTGTATACACTGTTCTCTCTGTGTCTCACACTCACAGTGTGCGGTGGTGATTATTACTGTGTATGTACTCACTGATGTGTGTATATATACACTGTACTCTCTGTCTCTCACTCTGTGTCTCTGTCTCTCTGTGTCTCTCTGTCTCTCACTCTGTCTCTCTCTCTCTCTCTCTCTGTGTCTCACTCTGTGTCTCTCTCTCTCTGTCTCTCTCTCTGTGTCTCTCTCTCTCTGTCTCTCTCTGTGTGTCTCTCTGTCTCTCTCTGTGTGTCTCTCTCTGTCTCTCTGTATCTCTCTGTGTATCTCTCTCTGTGTCTCACTCTCTGTGTCTCACTCTGTGTCTCACTCTGTGTCTCTCTCTGTATCTCTCTCTGTGTCTCTCTGTATCTCTCTCTGTCTCTCTCTGTGTCTCTCTCTCTCTGTATCTCTCTGTGTCTCTCTCTGTGTCTCTGTATCTCTCTCTGTCTCTCTCTGTGTATCTCTCTCTGTGTCTCTCTCTGTGTCTCTCTGTATCTCTCTCTGTGTCTCTCTCTCTGTGTCTCACTCTGTGTCTCTCTCTGTATCTCTCTCTGTGTCTCTCTGTATCTCTCTCTGTCTCTCTCTGTGTCTCTCTCTCTCTGTATCTCTCTCTGTGTCTCTCTCTCTGTGTCTCACTCTCTGTGTCTCTCTCTCTGTGTCTCTCTCTCTGTGTCTCTCTCTGTGTCTCTCTCTGTGTCTCTCTGTATCTCACTCTGTGTCTCTCTCTGTCTCTCTCTGTGTATCTCTCTCTGTGTCTCACTCTGTGTCTGTGCCCCACAGTATGGCTGACTACCTGATTAGCGGAGGGACAGGTTATGTTCCTGAGGATGGCCTCACAGCTCAGCAGCTCTTCGCCTGCGCCGATGGCCTCACCTACAAGTAAGTGTCTACTACAGGCCCGGGGGCCGCCACAGGCCCGGGGGGGGGGGGTTAGAGAGGCTTGGACCTGGGGGTGGGGTGTGGGTGTGAGGGAGGTCGGGTTGAGTGGCTGTGATGGAGAGGAGACGGGTCCTGAGGGTCGGGAGTGTCTCTGTCTCTGTCCCGGGTACCAAACCCCAAGACTATCGTCTCCAGGAAACTGCCATGAAAATGCTCCATCAGTGACTGTCTGTATGTGTGTCCACGTGTCTGTGTTTCTGTGTGTGTGTGTCTGGCTGTGTATGTGTATCTGTGTGTGTGTATCTGTGTGTGTATCTGTGTGTGTATCTGGCTGTGTGTGTGTGTATCTGGCTGTGTGTGGTGTATCTGGCTGTGTGTGTGTGTGTGTGTGTGTATCTGGGTGTGTGTGTGTGTATCTGGCTGTGTGTGTGTGTATCTGGCTGTGTGTGTGTGTATCTGTGTGTGTATCTGTGTATGTATCTGGCTGTGTGTGTGTGTATCTGTGTGTGTATCTGGCTGTGTGTGTGTGTATCTGGCTGTGTGTGTGTGTGTGTGTGTGTATCTGGCTGTGTGTGTGTGTATCTGGCTGTGTGTGTGTGTATCTGGCTGTGTGTGTGTGTATCTGGCTGTGTATGTGTGTATCTGGCTGTGTGTGTGTGTATCTGTGTGTGTATCTGTGTATGTATCTGGCTGTGTGTGTGTGTGTGTGTATGTATCTGGCTGTGTGTGTGTGTATGTATCTGGCTGTGTGTGTGTGTGTATCTGGCTGTGTGTGTGTGTATCTGGCTGTGTGTGTGTATATATCTGGCTGTGTGTGTGTGTATCTGTGTATATATCTGGCTGTGTGTGTGTGTATCTGTGTGTGTATCTGTGTGTGTATCTGGCTGTGTGTGTGTGTATCTGGCTGTGTGTGTGTGTATCTGTGTGTGTATCTGTGTGTGTATCTGGCTGTGTGTGTGTGTATCTGTGTGTGTATCTGTGTATGTATCTGGCTGTGTGTGTGTGTGTATCTGGCTGTGTGTGTATGTATCTGGCTGTGTATGTGTGTATCTGTGTGTGTATCTGTGTGTGTATCTGGCTATGTATGTGTGTATCTGGCTGTGTGTGTGTGTGTATCTGGCTGTGTATGTGTGTATCTGGCTGTGTGTGTGTATATCTGTGTGTGTATCTGTGTATGTATCTGGCTGTGTGTGTGTGTATCTGGCTGTGTGTGTGTGTATCTGTGTGTGTATCTGTGTGTGTATCTGGCTGTGTGTGTGTGTATCTGTGTGTGTATCTGTGTATGTATCTGGCTGTGTGTGTGTGTATCTGGCTGTGTGTGTATGTATCTGGCTGTGTATGTGTGTATCTGGCTGTGTGTGTGTGTATCTGGCTGTGTATGTGTGTATCTGGCTGTGTGTGTGTATATATCTGGCTGTGTGTGTGTGTATCTGTGTATATATCTGGCTGTGTGTGTGTGTATCTGGCTGTGTGTGTGTGTATCTGGCTGTGTGTGTGTGTGTATCTGGCTGTGTGTGCGTATCTGGCTGTGTATGTGTGTATATATCTGGCTGTGTGTGTGTATCTGTGTGTGTATCTGGCTGTGTGTGTGTGTATCTGTGTGTGTATCTGGCTGTGTATGTGTGTATGTATCTGGCTGTGTATGTGTGTATGTATCTGGCTGTGTATGTGTGTATGTATCTGGCTGTGTATGTGTGTATGTATCTGGCTGTGTGTGTGTGTGTATGTATCTGGCTGTGTATGTGTGTATCTGTGTGTGTATCTGGCTGTGTGTGTGTCTGACTATGTCTGCGTGTGTCCACGTGTCTGGGTTTCTGTGTGTGTGTGTGTGTGTGTGGCTGTGTGCATGTGTGTGCCTGGCTATGTGTGTGTGCGTGTGCGTGTGTCCACGTGTCTGGGTTTCTGTGTGTGTCTGTCTGTCTGTATCTGGCTGTGTGTATGTGTGTGTCTACGTGTCTGGGTTTCTGTGTGTGTGTGTCTGTATCTGGCTGTGTGTATGTGTGCTCCCATGTGTCTGGGTTTCTGTGTGTGTGTGTGTCTGTCTGTATCTGGCTGTGTGTGTGTGTCCACGTGTCTGGGTTTCTGTGTGTGTGTGTCTGTATCTGGCTGTGTGTGTGTGTCCACGTGTCTGGGTTTCTGTTTGTGTGTGTGTGTCCATGTGTCTGGGTTTCTGGCTGTGTGTCTGTCTGTATCTGGCTGTGTGTGTGTGTGTGTCTGTCTGTATCTGGCTGTGTGTGTGTGTGTGTCTGTCTGTATCTGGCTGTGTGTGTGTGTGTGTCCACCTGTTTACCAGCAGTAAGTAGGAACTTGGCTGTTAGTCGATTGGTGGATCACTTTCTGGGGATAATTATCCCTTCGAAAAATATATGCTCACTTAATCCACGACAGTTTGTGGGACACTACTGTGTGCAATCGGCTGCCGCTTTCACCCACAAAACACACAGTCACTACACTTTACAGTATACTCTGTGGAGTGCTTTGAGACGTCTAGAATACGCGATAATGCACTGTATCAAATGCAAGAATTATTATTATTGTCGATAACCACAGTTCACGCTGTGAAGTTAACTCCGTGTGTGAGATGTGGTGTGTGAGGCTGTGAACATGGATTTAAAGGGACAGCTTTGCATCTCCAGCCCATTCCTACTGGTGGGGGAGGGGAGGGGCTGTGTCTGTGTGGGGTCTGCGTCTCTGTCTTAGAAACTGTTCCTTCCTGTGTGTGTTTCTATCAAAATAAATGGTGATAAATGTCACACTGACAAAAATGGTCAGTGAGATGATGCAATGTTGGGAAATACAGTATAATAGCAGAGCCCAATCTAGAAAGGCTGCGGTTTGAAGGCTGTTAGTAAATCAATACCAGCAGCAACTGGTTGGGGTAAATGGCCTTTCTCCCTGCCCTGTGGCCGTGCTCGTGTTTCTGGTCTCCTGAAATCAGTGACTCGTACAACAGTTTGCAATCGCACAATACCATTCCCGTATAGCGTCTCAGACTGCCTGGCACAATGATAATAATAATTATATAATAATCCTGGCATTTGCTATAGCGCCTTATCATGTCTTCGAGACATCTCAAAGCGCTTCACAGGATATACAGCAAAGTGAATTGACTGTATACTTTGTGGGCAAAACACGGCAGCCAATTGGGCACAGCAGCGTCCCCACAAACAGTCGTGGGTTGAGTGACCAAATTATTATATTTTTTAAGGGATTGTTACCCCCGGAAAAGTGATCCGCTAATCGAATAACAACTGGGTTCCTACTGACTGCTGGTAAACAGAGGTTTGTGGAGTAAGGAAACTTGCCCAACATTTCGCCCCGCCCGGGAATCAAACCCGGATCCTCTCGCTTGCGAGGCGAGTGCTGTAACCACTGAGCTGCAGGACTGACTCCACAGTAAATAATAGTTTGGTTATTCAATCCACGATTTTTGTGGGACGCTGCTGTGCGCGATTGACTGTTTCACCCATAAAATACACGATCAATTCACTTTACAGTATATATACGTCTCAAACATCTGGAGGCGCTGTGTCAAATGCAAGGATTATTATTGAAGTTGATCCTAATTCTCACCATCTGACTTGGGTTTAAAGGTTCCTGCTGGTGAAGTTGAGCTGAGTACTGGAATGTTAATGTTAATTGAGTTTCTCTGAAGCGTGTAACTCAATAACTGTGTTGGGTGTGTGTCATGTGAGTGTCTAATCAGCATCATCTGCAGTCAGTGTCTCTGAGGAGAATCCCGTGTCCCAGAGCTGTGTGTGACATGTGGGCAGGGGGGATTGTCACAGGAACCAGACATGGAACTGTTAACCATCAGGCTTACATTGGTGCTCACTCCCCCACTGGAGCTCTCAACTCTCACCCCATCCCCTGCTCTCTCTCTCACCATCGTGTCTGTGCTGGGGCTCGCTCCCCCACTGGAGCTCTCTACTCTAACCCCATTCCCTGCTCTCTCTCTCACCATCGTGTCTGTGCTGGGGCTCGCTCCCCCACTGGAGCTCTCTAATCTAACCCCATTCCCTGCTCTCTCTCTCCCCATCGTGTCTGTGCTAATACCATCTTCTCCACTATAATTATGTATTTTAATCTTAATCTCTAGTCTTTTCCCCATTTTCATTTGACCTCAGGTCTGGCCTGGCTGTTGACAGTGAGAGTTAAAGATCTCATGCCATTGTTTACAAAGAGAGACCAGATGCTTCTGCTGTGAAGAGAAGTGACTGGCCTCCTCCTGGTCCTAACAATTTGAATGGTGCGACTGATGAGATTTGGTCTCTCAATCCACGGCTGTGTGTGGGACGCTGCTGTGCGCAATTGGCTGCTGCGATTCGCTCACAAAACATACAGTGAATTCACTTTATGTCCTGTGAAGCACTTTGAGACATCACAAAGACATGATAAGGCGCTATATCAAATGCAAGGATTATTATTATTACACTAGTACACTAGCTGCAAAACCAGCTCCAACACCTGACAGTAATTGTGAAGCACTTTGAAGCATGTGGAAGGGACCAGGCGAGTGCTTCCTGTCAGCTCCCTGATTATCTCGAGAGTTCCCCACCTCAGTTCCTCTCTGAGATGGAAGGTTAATCAGGGCAGTGAGAGGATTGGAGTGAACTTGTTTGTGGCTTTGAGTATGCTACTGTGTTTTGACTTGGCTGTTTACGGAAGGACACAGTGTTTGTTCACTTGGAGCGAGGCGAGTGCGGAGGAGGTTTCCCAGAGGATTCTCAACATATGGGACTGAGTTCCGAGGAGAGGTTTCCTAACCTTGAACACTCGAGAGTTGTTTATAAGATTATAGGTTTTGGAAGGTTTCCTTTCCATCCCACTTACAATTGTCAGCCTCTCATGTCAGCCTGACTCAGTCACAGCACTCTGGGCTCGGAGTCAGAAGGTTGTGGGTTCAAGCCCCCATGTTAAGTCTTACAACTCAGTTTAGGCTGACACTCCAGTGTAATATACTAATTAAAATAATCCTTGCATTTGTTATAGCACCTTAA